AAGAGGCCTAAACTGAACAGAAACTTCTCTATCACTGGAAGAAATCAAACAGAAGTTAGGTGATAATCTTAAGCAAGGCTGTTGTCAGGGGAATTTATCAAATGGGGACAGGAGTGGGACTAAAAATTATCACATGCACTTCCAACTGTGAGGGTTTGGGATTATGAATGTTTTAACAAAAATAGGAGGATTTAGGTGAAACATTTCTACCAGCCTGGTCATGCATTAAACCAGAGGAAAATTTCACTAAGACACAAAATCTTAATTCAAAGCCATAATTGGGAGTGAAAACATTTCTATTATTAACCTCACAGAAAAGATTCAAAAAATAATCTAGAGCAAGATTCCGGTAACATCAAGCACTAAAAGAGTTTTATGTTTTTAGCCAGAAGTAATCACTAAAATATTCCTTTAAAAAAATCCTCTTTCTAAATGTGTGTCCTATTTATGGAACAATGAGCAGTTTAAATCTTGAGAAAACTGTGTTCTTGTAAATACTTATTACGTAAATAATAAAACATAAAGTAAAATATAATTTGTTTTAAAATTTCCAAACAAAAGATTTTACTGCTTAGGGAATGCCCTTTGCGCTTAAACTATTAAATTAAGTTGTGTAATTAGCTGGGCTTTGTCATCAGAGCCATGTTTCTATTACATGGGAAGACAATAGGACAGAACTTTAGCGGTCAGACTAAGACAAGCAATTCCCATGACTCAAACTACAGAACTGTGTGACCAAGTGACTGAGGCATCAGCACCTGTCTTACGCTCATATTGCCACATGCATAAGCAGTTGCTGAAGAAAAATAGATAGTAACTCATTGATTTGAATATTGTTTTAAAAGCATATGAATCATTTTTGCTTCTATATGTCATAGCTCTGACCTAAACTTACTACATTCTTTACAGTAATCCATTTAAGGACTAACATGTTAGGAATTACTGTGTTTATAACTCTAACACTAAATTTTCTTTGCCAAATTTTCCCTGCCTAAATTTTCCTGGCCTCCTGGCTATAAACATGATAAACTATACATCCTTGCTAAATTTTCCTTGCGTCCTTTCTGAGAACATCATAGACTATATAATGAATGAAGGTGATACTAGGTTCATTTGACTAATGGCAATAATTACTATGGCTTGAATAAGGTATTTATCACTTGTTCAGAATATTTGGCTCTCTGGTACAAATTCTGATTTGAATGGCATAAAATACATGCCAGGTATATATTTGTTTAATTTTAATACATATTCACAACAGGTAATCTTTGTAGATCATCTAAGATGATCAAATAAAATATTTCTGAAAATATAATCTCATGAGTCAATAATTAAAAAATACAATGATTGAAGTTTTGTCTATAAAGTTTTACTTTTTCCCTAATTTCTTTTATTCCAAACCATTTTTTCAGCCCTTTATCACGTAGCATATTCTACTTGAACAAAGGAAAATTGATTCAAGCATATTGATTTTTTATAGTTTACAAATAGGTTTTTCTCCTTTCTTCTATAGAAACTGGTTTGACAGAGTGAAATATAGTCTATGATTGAAAAAAATTTAATAAAAGCATGAATTTAATTTGTGTGTTTTTCAGTTTTCTTCCCTAATTATTAGAGGTCAGTTAGTTAAAATGTGTTCATATTTTTTAAGTGTTTGACTCTTATAACAATATTTCAGAAAACAGAAAAATCTTAACATCATTTTACTTGCTTGAGTGCTAAGTAAATATCTTTGAAAAGTATATACTTCACTTTCATTTGTGAGCTGTCTTATAGTTATTCTTTGCTATATGTGAAACCTGACATGTAGTCTTTCAGTTTTGTCATCCTATCTGCTTTTGCACTTTAGTTAATATTATTTGGTAGAAATGCCATATTTTGATTTTTTTCATGACAAGTTAATCTTTGGAGAAATGAAAGATTAAACAATGGGAATGAACAGTCAGAAAAGTAGAAAAAAAACTTTGTCCAGTGTGATATCCTGGAAGCCAAGTGAAGAATGTTTCTAAAAAGAGGACAGGATCAGCATTGCCACATGCTGCTAATTTGGTACAGTAAGAGTACTCTGATGGGTTCAAACAAGTTCAAGCAGAGCATGTGTATATAACTATGCTCTTTCCAACTCCACTTAAACAACAATACAGAAATTTTTAAAGATCTGAACCCACATAGATAAAAACAATGGAAGCAGAGACCACAGTGGGGGAGCAATATTGACAAAATCTTGAAAGATGAAGAGTGAATAGCAGAGAGGCTCAAGCATTCACAGGAAGGAAGAAGGTCCACAAGAAGTGACACAATTCTTCTGCAGAGCCCTAGAAAGGACCAAGTATGGGAGGTGTATCTCTGAAGGTACAGTGGGGGCAAGTGGGTGGAAGAGCTGATAACTTTAATTTTGAAGTAATTGGTTGAAATTCTGTTTAAGGAAAAATTAGATTCCTCCAATCACTTTCCAATTTCACATATCCTAAACTTACCCCTCCTATATACCCTGATAGAAAATAAGAATAAAGAGAATTATCTAAAGAATTCTAAACAGAGAAGTTTGGTATGTTTTTCAGGCAGAATTGAAATTGGGGCTGAAACTCCATACTAAAAACCTAGACTATTAAATTAAAATGTTTACACTAATAATGTAACTCCCAAACCCTTCCCTGACTAGATCCCAGAAGGCCGCTAGCCGGGTTTATGCTCCCCAAGCAGGAGAAAAGATGAAACTGTCTGAGGTCAAGAAAAAAGACATAGACACCAAATAAACAGTTGGTTTTCTCGGATTTTCTACATGGTGACCCTAAGGAAACATGCGCTGTATGTACTTAGGATTTCAATCAACTTGTCTTTCACATAAGGCAGAACCAAAAGCATCCAGCATAGAAGTCAGAGTCTAAAATGCATAAACAGAATAAAGGTAACTTAGAAGAGACAGATACATTGTATGAAGAAAAATATAGTCACAGCTACATTTCCCTGGGAGGTAGACTCTGAGATGGGCTTGAGCACGCAAGATGTTTATTAGGAAGTCACTTTGGAGGGGACAAAAGCAACGGTGGGCTAACAAAGAAGTCAAGCTGCAAGGCCACTCCCATGAGAGCCTCAGCCTCAGTCTCTGGGGCTAGAACAGCCCTTCAGAACTCTCCCACATTGGGCCAAGATGGCCAAGCACTCATAGCCCACATGGAACAGTCTTTGGATGTGGGCTACCTCAAAAAGGGAAGGTGATCTTGGGCAACAACTCTTTCCTTGAAGGGCAACCTGAGTGTTGCACCCAGTGTCTACCACAAAAACTTTAATGAAACTATAATAAATAAATTTAGAAAGCTAAATAAAAGCACAATTCCATCTGATGAAATAAGAAAATAATGTTATATATTTTTTTAACATAGAGTATTCTGAAAACATAAAATAGCTCTTGAGATTTTAAAATATAACAATGGAAATTTTTTAAAAATTCACAGAAAAGGTGGGAGATAAAGTTGAGAAAATCAAAAAATTAAAAGAGAAAGATTTGGAAGAAGACAATTGTCAAATAACAAACACACAAAAATAACACATACAAATATTATCAAGGGTGTGGTGCTATGGACTGAAAAGTCCCATTAAATCCTCAGGACAGTATATAAGGGGAGAAAACATATTTGGTGAGAAATTTAAAATTTCAGAAATAAAGAAAAGATCCTAAAGGCTTCCAAAGAGAAAAAGTAGATCACATGTACAGGATTAGGACTTTAAAAAGCAGTGGGCCGGGCACAGTGGCTCACGCCTGTAATCCCAGCACTTTGGGAGGCCGAGGCAGGTGGATCACAAGGTCAGGAGATCGAGACCATCCTGGCTAACATGGTGAAACTCCATCTCTACTAAAAATACAAAAAAAAAAAAAAATTAGCCAGGCGTGGTGGCGGGCACCTGTAGTCCCAGCTACTCGGAGACTGAGGCATGAGAATGGCGTGAATCCGGGAGGCGGAGCTTGTAGTGAGCTGAGATCAAGTCACTGCACTCCAGCCTGGGTGACTGAGCAAGACTCTGTCTCAAAAGAAAAAAAAAAAAAAAAAAAAAAAGGAGTGAACTTTATTACAGCAAAGTGGAAGATAGAAAATAATGAAACAATATTTTTTAAATTCTGAGAAAAAAAGTCTTAATCCAAAATATCATATTTAACCTCACTTTAATAAAATCTGAAAATAGAAACAAGACACTTTCCTCTTACTCATCTTTTCTTAGCAAGCAACTGGAGAATGAACTCCAGAAAAGGGGGAGAATAAAGTGGAAAAGTATATGATTCAGGAAACAGAGGAAAGAAAAGAGAGAAAGGGTTAAAGAGAATCCCCAGTTTGATAGTAAGGGGAAGACCCTGGACCAGAGCTTGCAGTAGGCACAGGGAACAATCGGTTGTGGGAGGAGGCAATCAGAGGGCTTGAGGGAAAGGGATGGATAGTTAGAAAAAAATGAAACAGATGGATCACTGATTATATTTGCATTGAGAGAGGTTGCATACTTTGGATTTGGGGGATGAATCAGTAGTAGAAATATAAAAATCAGCTAATGAAAAAATAATGCAATTTTTCATTTAGGAAAGCAAAAAGTTGAAAAAAAAGGTCAGAGCCCCCTTCTTAGCTCAGCTGTGTATAGTATTTATGTAGTCATAATAAAGCAAATACAGAATATAAGTTAAACCAAAATTGATAATTTACCAGCATTTAGAGGCTGAGGAAATGGGAAGTATATATTAAGTGGTGTGGGGAGAGTTGATTGGGCTGGATTCTTTTCTCCAATAAGAGGAAGCAATAGAAAATACCTAAAGCTTCATCACACATACATAAGAAATTAGTATAAATGCATTATTTAGCTATTTGGAATTAGATGCCAGAAGAAATAGCTAAACAAATTGAAATTGGTATCATCTGCACATCGAGAGTTGAGGATAGCAAATGGAGAAGTAGAGTGCTGCTGTTTTTCATTATAAATCTTGTAATCCTTTTTGACTCTATATACTATATACCTGCATTAAATCCTGCTTCATGTTGATAAAAATTCCTGTTTCCGTAAAAGTTTTGCATCCAATCTTTTTGAAAAGTTTGGTTTATGTTGCTACGATTCAGTCCAAGAGGAATTAACCCAAGTTCAAGCTTATTTTATGATACCTGGGAAAGAAGAAATCAGAGAGCTAATGGTATTCGTACTTTAATGATTGATTTCCCATTTCAATAATTAATAATTTTCTTGACTCTGATGATTACAATGACTTTGTTCCTACATGATCCATTTTACCACTTCATCTCAGCTAACTTTTCTTCAGCCACCATTTCTTTGTTTTTTTTTGTTTGTTTTTTTTTTTTTTTTTTCACGTTAAAAAACATCTGTTGAAGTCTAGGTAAAATTAACTTTAATTTTGATTTCTTTCCAAATTCTGCATTTAATCTGGATGAGTGAATGAAGGGTTGAAGGACCATCACATTTTCATGTTACAATTGATATTTATGTTGGGCAAGTGAACACTGTTCATGTATCAAGCTGTCAAGTATTGTCACCTTAATAGAGTAAACAATTAAAAAGAAGAATTGTAGCAATCATTTTAATGGGCTTCTTGTTCATTAATTTCATAGAAAAAACTAAAACTGATTTGTGAAAATAAACTATCCATACTTTGCCTCTTTCTCTCTTTTTAAAGTGATCCATCAACTAGACCATCGCAAGTGTTCTGTAAATCTATTTTATTCCCTTTACTTTATAGGAAAATTAAATTATAGATCCAAGTGGAGAAAAGGCCATTGTCTGGGTTCCTCTGATCTCATTTTACCCATAGGTCACAGGAGGTATTCAAAGTTCTTAAAACTGCACACTACTAAGAAGGAACTGAGGTCCTTTTTCTAGACAAGATAACCCACCACCTCCCTCAAGTGGTCAATTGGATTAGTTTTCTGTTTCCAGAGCTGACTCGTAGTTTATTTCCAAGAACTATAGAGTCAAGTATAATGGCTGGGTTGAATGGACTTTTTTTCTTTAATAAATTGTTTGGCCTTTAGGGTGAAGTATGCTGACTCTACTAAATTGCACTATATTTTAGTTTATGTCAAAAGAAAAAGGCACTTAACCAGGGGCTAGCAGTTGTTTACAGGGCTTGCCAACTCAGGATTGCTTTCACTGTGGCCTTTGCCTTTCCTGCTAAGAGCTTAATCCAAACTTCATCATTTCGACTTCCTTAAAGTCGTACCAATTTCTTTTTCACTAGAGCAAAGGTGTTAATTCCTGCTTCCTGAACAAATTGGCCTTTCAGTGATTACACATCACCCAGCACAACTTGCTTAATGATGTTATTTCCTAACCAAAACTGAAAACTTTTTAAAATGTTTCCTTAATTAATCTCTGAGAAGGGGGATAAGGGGTGGGGAGAGGGAAAGGAGACCCAGGCTGTCTTTCTGATGAACAGCAGTAAGTAAAATTCTCAGTGTTATCTATAATCAAATCATTTTCAGGACATTTTGTACAAAAACATCATTTCAGAAGAAATTTATAAAAGTCATTGCTTTAAGTCATAAGGCTAACTTTAGTTCTAGCAATCTCAGAATAAAATATCCAACAAGGATGTCTGCAGAGTACTAACTTGAATAAAAATGTATGAGTTGATGACATTCATGCTTTCTAATGGTAACTAAGTAAAATTCCTTTTCTGTTATGTTCATTCCTCAGGTTTGTAAAAGGATGAAAGGAACTGGAAAAGAAGTTGGCTGGGAAGCTAGGTATAAACATAATTAAATAGACTTTTGTTGCCTTTAGTGTTTGAATAATGCTTATCCAACGTTTTCAAGTTGATTTAGATAACCTAGCAATCAGCTAAATCAGATATTTGAGGGCAGTTTTTAGCTTTTTTCAAACCCAACCACAAAATAAACGAACTCTTGCAACAAAACAGTCAGCCTCCCTGGTATTTTGGCTCCACAACTCACATCTCAATGAAGCCAAACCCCTAGGAATGAAAAAATGTCTACAAATGCACACAAAACTTACCAACCTATGTCAAAACAGGGCCAAGTGTGTCAGGTTGGCGAGGACCCTGGACACTCTAATCTCAAAGAAGATCAAGCTACAGCAAGGTTTAATTCTTCCATACTTTGATCTATTGCTAGGCTCCTCCAACTATTCTTGACAAGAATACCTGGGTTCAATCACTGTCTCAACGCGAAGGGTTTGAAACAGTAGAGTGGACAGATACACGAAAAGTAGTCATTGATACAAAACATTCCAATATGTGTATCGTACTGGCTGAAGGTAATATGTTAATATCATAGTTGAATAGTTTGAAGCCAACTTGGGAAAGCTGCATCGACTTTGCACATACAATACGTTCCTTTTGATACTATAAGAAATGATTCTGTAAGAAATCATTTTTGGCCGGGCGCGGTGGCTCACGCCTGGTAATCCCAGCACTTTGGGACGCCGAGACGGGCAGATCACGGGGTCAGGAGATTGAGACCATCCTGGCTAACACGGTGAAACCCCGTCTCTACTAAAATTATATTTTTAAAAATTAGCCAGGTGCGGTGGTGGGCGCCTGTAATCCCAGCTACACGGGAGGCTGAGGCAGGAGAATGGTGTGAAGCCGGGAGGGGAGCTTGCAGTGAGTGGAGATCCCGCCACTGCACTCCAGCCTGGGTGACACAGCAAGACTCCATCTCAGAAAAAAAATAAAAAAGAAATCATTTTCTGAGCTTTGGTTGTTATTACCAAGAATGGGTGTGGTTGGGACTTACCAGGGTGCTCCATTTCTGTCCTTTTCTCTTTTTGTGACTCAGTCTTCTGCTTCTCAATCTGCTCTTGCTCTCTCACTGTCTTTTCCTCTGAAAATTCAAAGGCACAATTATAGCATGAATTTGCAAAGATTTTTTACCTTTCACCTGCAAGGAACTAACAGGCAAGGACATTCAGGATGGGTATATAGACTGAAGAGAAAAATTCCTTTAACTACATATAACCTTAATTGAAGATTTTTCACTTATCTGCAAGATATCTGTGATAATGGAACCAAATACTGTTCCTATTTTACAAAACAGAAAGCATTTATATTGACTCCCAGAGAATAAATACCTCTGTTTATTTTTTGTGTAAAGTGCTAAGTGCCATATAGGCAAGCGTGGTTAAGAACAGTGTGGCTTTAAGGTCCTGAGGCTGAAAGAAGCATCAGCATTTTCCTCATTATTTGGGTAGAATGCCATAATTAAATTTCCATATTTTGGTAAATTGAAGGGCATGGTTGCCTAACAGATGTCAAGAAGTACAGATTCAAAATTCACACCCTAAGATATACGGCAGCTTTTTGTGGGCTTCCTGACATTTAACCAGCAAAGATTGTAGATGTGTCTGAAATAAGACTGTTCCTTTGTTTTCTGTGACTTAGACTTTTCTGGGTTTGGAGTCTTCTGGGTTTAGAGTTCGTAAAATAAAGATCAGAATGTTTGTGGCTACACCTTCACCAACACTCCACCATGCCATTCCTGGGGATAGCCTAGAGAGGAGTGGGTGACAGTGGGGAATGAGAGGCTACAGAAAGGTGAGGAAAGAACATGTGTTGCCAAGGCCAGTGCTCCATATAAAAACATCAGGTTCTGGGATGGAACTTGAGATTCTGTGTGTCCAGCAAGCTGCTAGGAACACACTTTGAGTAGCCAGGACCTTGGATCAGCACTTCTTACACTATCTATTGAGAAGGAATAGCTCCCGTACCCACACAATCCCAGGCAGGACTCTGCTCTTCTGTTCCCCAGACCTTCTCCTGGGACAAAGAAAGAGGCCACAGTGACATGACACACTAATCACTTCTGCAGCACACCAGGAACCGGATGCACTGTCAGAAATTCTACTGGTTTCCAGGTTGGGTATATGAGAAAAAAGGCAAAAAGAATTCCTTACTTCACTGCTTGAAGCCACACAGTCTCTGTAACACACCGAAGGATGCTAAGTTCCTTTGGTTTGCCTGCAAACAGCCACTAACACCAGTCTTGTATTTAGAGGAGGATTTAAAATCCATCCACAGCCCATAGTTTTTAAGGAAGCAAATCATGGGGTTGACTTCCCATATGCTTCTCATCTCTGGGGTCTGCCCACCAATTGACTTCTCATAGCATGCTTGCCCCGGCTGCCTTGCAGTCTTTCCAGATGAAATTCAAGATTCTCCGGTAACTGTAGCAGGACAACTCCTAAGACCAGTGACCTTCCAAATAACCTTCTCATTCCTCTCATGTTCAGAGAATGGGAAAGGATGCCAGAAAGCTATGTGAGGGTGAACGACGGCCAGAACTGTAATTTATATGTATGACCTGACAGAAAGGTGGAAATGGGGAGAATGTTACTCAATACTTTTTTTCACTGTACTAATCTCTCTTCAAGGATGCTTTGCCAAGACAAATCATATATTTTTATATAAAGCATCTACCATTTCTACTCCTTCGCCATAAACAGGCATTTTAAACTTAGCAAGGGCAAGAGAACTTTTTTACTAGAATAGAATGTTAGCTGCTTGAAGACAGAAATTCTGCTAGGCTCATTTACTGCCATACCCCCAGCACCAGAACAACATTTGGCACACAGTAGGTGCTCCAAAACACCTGTTGGCAACTACCTAACCATAATGGTAATGAGGGCATTACGAGGCCTCATGACATATCTTCTCTATCTACATATTACACATATCTTTCTTACACCCCAGTACACCTCCTGCCAGCCTTCCCTGACTCTTCCCACATTTTATAAACTCCCTTCCCTTCTGCACAAATTTATTATCTTCCCAGTATCCTCACCTTGTCCATATGCCTCCTTTGTTCTACGTTTTCTCTGATCTTGCATGTATCAGAGACTTTTACAGCCTAAGTTTAGGAAAAGTGAGTGTTACAGCTCCACTATCCCTTTTAAGCATACTACCTAGAACCATGAAAGAATGAAGACTCTAGTTTGCAAAGATTCCCTGCAGAGGTAACAGCTGTGAGTACAGCAAACAGTGGATGGATGGGACACAAAGTCATGCCAACAGTATTGAAAGTGTTTCAATAAGACAGAAAAAAACACACTTGAAGAAAAATGTCTTACTTCACACTTTTGACCAGGGCTAGAATAAAGTTGTGAGGAAGTATCTGTTGAGTCTTTATGTGATTCTGAGCAATCTGTGAGGTAAAAATCACATAACTACCGGGGACTCTTTTCAGATGTCATGAAATGCAGCCAAGGTCCAACCTTGACTAGAGATTCTACATGGGGGTTCTGCCACATGATGGGAAAGACAGATGGCCTACAGGATTAGTGTTTCTCTACTCACATAACTTCTTGGAGTAACACTCAAGAACAGACCAAAATGACATCTAATTCTAAATACCTCCCTTCATTGATGTGACACCTCAGCAATCCCCCCACAATGACAGAATTTTGGCTTCTCAGCTAAACTTAATGATGCAGAAATAATTCAGGACGTGAAAACTGAAGGGAAAAAAAGGTGCTGTACTAAGCAAAAACCGCTTAGGGAAAATACTGTTTTGTTTTTTTGTTTTTTTTAATTTTGATCAAGTAATTCAACCACTCCAAAAAATGTAATAATGTTTGTGTTTCTCATTGAGCACTGGTGAAAATCATTTAATCTTTTTTTTAAAAAAGGCCTTTAAAGGCCAGGTGTGGTGGCTCTTGCCTGTAATCCCAGCCGTTCGGGAGGCTGAGGCAGGCAGATCACCTGAGATCAGGAGTCTGAGACCAGCCTAGCCAATATGGTGAAACCCTTTCTCTACTAAAAATACAAAAATTAGCTGGGCCTGGTGGTGGGCTGCCTGTACTCCTGGCTACTCGGGAGGCTGAGGCAGGAGAATCACTTGAACCCGGGAGGCAGAAGTTGCAGTGAGCCGAGATCACGCCATTGCACTCCAGCCTGGGCAACAAGAGCAAAACTCTCTCCAAAAAAAATATTTAAAGGCACAGTTTCTTAAGACCCAATTTTAAAACTACAACATTAAAGTATCACCACCTAATAGTATTGTCACATCCTCCACTCTTGTGACAAATTGTTTTATGACTATTCCCTCCCCAGTTCTCAAACTAAAAATAGTATAAGAGCAGTTAAACAAAAAATCTCTTGGTTTCAAGTTTTCTTAAATCAGCTACAGTTCAACAACCTGAAATAATTAAAAATAAATTAGAACTTAATGTTCAGAAACCCAATCATAGCATGTGGCTAATTGTGAGTATCCAGTCAACACCAGCACCAAGTTATGATGAAATAAAACCATCCCACTGACATATCCCCCGCACCCACTACCCCCAAGACTCTCAGGATACAATGTCGTTATCTATCACTTGCCAGGGTTACTTCCTTCTGTTAGCACAAATGCTCCCATTGTCAGCAAAAGCCTGAGTCAGTCTTGAGAAAAAAAAAGTAAGCGAATCCTGCTTTTTGCTTTCATAATGCTATAAAAATACATATAGCCTCCTTCGATAGTTATCTATCTCCCCAGTTATGGCCTCCCCAAAATAAATTCTGGTGGGTTTAAGTAGATGAAACTAAATATTTCAAAGTTCCTCTTTCCATAGTAATTACCTTACCTCACAACCAAAAGAGGGCAGCACTGAGGGCATCAGTAAAGGAGGTCAAACTTTAAATAGCGTATTTAAGTGGGTCGCAACCTGCTCATTAAAATCACCTGGTACAGTAAAAAATCTCATCCCCAGAGTTTCTGAATCAGCTGATCTGAGGAGGGACCTCTAAGACACTGACATTTGATTGATGCTTCCCAGGCTATTCTACTGTGCCTTGTAATCAAAGCAGTTTTCACTTTATGTTTTTCCCTTATTTTCATTTATTAAAATACGTCATTTATTTTCACTTAGTAAAATAGGTTTTCACTTATTTTCAGCAAAGTTAAACCTGGAAAAACCCTCAAAGAGCATCGAGGTTGTGCTTCTCAAATTTCCATGAGGACACAGATCAGCGGGAGACCTTGTAAAAATGCAGATTCCAAGTCAGGAAGTGTGGGGTGAGGCCTGAGGTAGTACAGGTCTAGCAAGCTCACAGGTGTGCCTCATCTGAGAACCACACCTTGTTCTCCCTGTTAACTTTACCAGATAAAAAAATGAGACTCAGACAGAGACTGTGGCTTCCTTCAGGTAATACAGCCAGCGAAAGAACAAAATGTGGTCAGAACTGATCATAATGACTTCCGTCTTGGGTTGGATACCACAGCAGCTGACACGTGGAAAGAACATCCATTAAATTTTCTGTGGGAAGTTGGGAGAAAACTAAGTGATAATGAAATTTTGGCAATTTCAAGTATAAAAAACTCACAGTGTGAAGTTAGTATAAATAAACTAGGGGGAGAGTTACAATTAAAACAAGTAAAAATCAGTTTGGGGTTTTTTGTTTTTGAAGCAGGAGGTATAAACACATGGTAAGAGAATAAAACAAACTGAACAGAAGGGAAAAATAAGCAAACCCTGTATAATAGCACATGAAGAAGGGCACAGAGAGGGAGAAAATGAAACAATAGAAAATAAAAGACACCAGGCTAACAAAAGGAACATAAGAATAAAAGTAGAGAGCTGGCAAATTAGACACAGGTTCTAAAATAAAAGGAAAATACAGCAGCATGGAAAGGAACAAACAGAAAAATCTAATGAGATGGGAGGATTCCTGCAAAAAGACTATATAAAATAAATCGCAAGATAATAGAGCCCATGGGAAGGTAAAGCATTAAAGAGAGTCAGGAACATGAACACATTTTTAAAAAATTTATTTAGTAAAAAACAGAAAAGAAGTTGTATTTCATGAAATATCATGGTTTTATTTTTCCTGTTTTTAAAATAACAAAAA